GCCAAGCGTACGTTTAAGCATGGTCGGGCCTCCAACATTGGCCATCTCCTCCAGGAACGAACTGCTAGCGGCGGTACTGGAAAGGCTGGAGTTATGGTTTCGTCGCCTAGATGCGAGACCCGGTGAACTGTACGAGGCCAATCATATGTCAGACAAAGGCATGCAAGGAGGAACACGAGTAAGGTGAAAGGTTATCAGAGAAAGGGAAAGAGTGTAGAAGGAAACGATAGACGCATGGGAAAGGCACGGGGACCGGTGGAGCATTCAAGCCAGGATGAGTGTGGAGGGCTCGGCGGCATGAATATGGAGAAGAGTATGGATATGGAGAATGAGATGGGGATATCGGAATTGAGCTGACCTTCTTTTCCCGATAATATCATCACTAGCCTCACCATGAAGCTTCCTTTTTCGCGACTGAGGGCTGGATGAAAGGGAACATTCGGAGCCCGCAGCTTGGCACTGGATGCAGCAGTCGTCGTCGTCGTTAAGGATGCAGTTGACGCGAGAGTACCGACATGATAGACAGGGTGGGATGGAGGAGGCGTTGAAGGATGAACCCTCAACGGGTGCAGAGCTGGCGACTCCGTGACCCATCTCGAGCCTATGGAAGCCGTCCTGGCGATAAGCAGATGGCTCTGGCCGAGGAGGTTTAGGAGCAATGGCGATAGGCGCCGTCCTCTGGACTGGGGCTGAGGACTGGGGAGACATGGTGGGAGAAGTTACAGATAGATCCAGAACAATGTATGGAACCTCGATACCGCCGCAGGTCTGTCTGTCTGCCTGCCTGCCTGCCTGCTATCAGCAGAGCAAAACACCAACAAACAGAGGGTGTGTTGCTGTCAGGGCACAACCTAGGGCTTGAATTGTGTTACACCAGAATACCTTACAGGCGCCCGTTGCCCTGCAATAAACGGGCGCAAGAAGGTTGAGCCTCAGTGGCTCTTTGAGTTATCAGCCTCCCGTCTCGGGGGTACAATGCAGCCTGGTCAATGCCAGTGCAGCAAGATTTCCGATATGGGTGGTGGTAACGATAGAGAGATACTGTAGGTGGTTTTTTCTTGGGGGGATGCGATAAAGCCCCACGGGGTCGACAGTGACGCAATGCGGTTGGAGCTACGACCACTGAGAAGCGAGATGATAGGTAACGATAGCTAATAGAACCACGTTATCCAAATCGAGTTGATTGAGTTGATTAGAGTCACACACACGACACGAGTCAATGGTTGGTGTGAGATAAGAATCTGGGGAAACGGAAGACGGGATGTGATGGGAGGCGAGGCGAGGCGAGGTGTGATGCAAGGAAGAATGGGAAGAAGGAGAAGGGAAAAAGATAAGAAAATGCCCGAGCGAGCGAGCAATCAAAGTGTGTAAGTGGTTGGCGAAGGAAGACGGGAACCAGCGCGAGCGAGGGCAAAGAGTGGGATCCAAGATGCTGGGATCCAATGTCAGGGACTTGCTGGGATGATTGGGGATGGCGGGCGCAGATGGGCGCCGATGGAGTCGAGTCGGTCGACGGCGCAGAAGTGACAGCGACAGAAACAGAAACAGAAACAGAAACAGACCAGACCAGGGGTGTATTTCTTTGGTTGGTTTAGTTATCTGATAAGGCTTCTGCAAGCGGGGAGAGGGTATTGACTAAGAGAACGATAATCAGGTTGAGAAATACCGAACTCGGTCCTTATTGTTAAGCCAATCCTCCTCTGTTTTCTCTGGTTTCCCTCTTGTCTTTTTTTCTTCTTGTCTTGTCTTGTCTTGCCTAGGCAGTCTTGTCCTGCTGTCCACTCTTCGTCGCCCCTCTCTGCAACCAAGATTAGATATATAAGGTATGTAGGTTGCAGATGCAATAGTCCGGAAATTGTACGGCGATGGATGATGCGGTGCGACACAACAAGCGAAAGTCTAGACAGACAGGACAGAGAGCACGGTGCTGCTCAGATCGTGGGCGACGGCGATAACAGCTCGGCGCAAAAGAAGCAAAGCAAATTGAATGACAAGTTGCTTGCCTTGGTACGCCCGTTGTGAGCTGTCAGCTGTGCTCTGGCTGGCTGATTTGGTGCTCCCACAGCCAAAATGTCTTGACTCTTGCAGGCGGGGGGATCAAAGCCTGGGGAACCGGGGATTAGATTAGACTGTGTTTGGTTGGAATGCAGATGCAAATGCAGATGCAACTGCAACTGCAGGGCCAGGGTATTGTCCTGGATCTCAATGCGCCGTCAATTTGCCCTCTGCTGTGACCTGATTCGATCCAGTACCGGCTTCTCTTCTTGGAGAAGAAATGGTCCGGAGAAGCTGTGTTGTAACAACCAACTGATACTGATAACAACGATGATAAGGATTCGCAGAGACCAGTGGACCGTCGGGAGGGTTAGAATCCAGGTAACCTGGGCTGGCGGCTTTGCCCTTGTCCTTTTTCTCTCTCAGGGAACTGCGAGATAAGCTAACAGACCTATCAGATTCGACGTCATCAATAAAAAACGACCGACTGGGCCAAAATCAGCTACCTAGTCGCTCGACAGTGGCGCGATGGCCGGTTTCGCAGCCGTGAATAACTTATTTATATCAGAGTATAATTAAAGAGGTGCAATAGCCGTCCGTTGCCTGAACTGTATCTTTTGTGGCTGGGCAATACCCGAAAGTGAATGAGGAGAGAAAGAGAAGAAGAGGAAAAAAGACAGAGAAGAGCAGAAAAATAGCAGAGTTGCTGCTACTGTACTAAATCGATCATGGAGGAGGCTTTTTGGAGAAGGGACATGAAAGTGCAAAAGGACAGGCATGTGAGAAGAGACAAAAAGAGAAAGAATACATCCGGCTTGATGGTATTCCCCGCAACGCCAAAAGTACCTGACCAGGACTTCTCCCGTCAAAGGGTCCCGTTCTCCAGATCCAATCCCCAAGTTCCCCTCCATCAACTTCGGGACAAGCCTTGTCAATTGGTGTCTAAGAGGCGTCCCCCCAAATTCGAAGCCCCCGGAGCATGTGCCGAATCAGGAATCTCGAACTTGGGGAACATAGCCCAGGAAGGGAGGTACTGAACTTCAGTACCAATATTTCGTATCTCGACATCAACCAGACGACCAAGGGATGCATCATCTGGGGACATTCGTGTCTTTGCCTGTATGCACAGTTGGGCTGTCATACCCTCAACTTGAGTGGCTCTTTGCTTGTCCTTGCACGCAAATTTACTAGGGGCGTAGTAATCAATGACTCAACAGACTGAAACATCAAACCTTAAGTTCTCTCATGAAGAGATATCCACCTGCTGCAAATCATATCCTCTAATATCAAAGTCGCTTCCAATTTCCGACTTGTCAAAGAGAGACACACGAATGGTACGGTGTACTCAGCGGGAACACAGCCTTGCCTGAATCATGGCCAATGCTGAGCCGTTACATGGCCCTAGTCATGTAGACGAGAACCAGCGTGAGCAATGGGGGATTTTCTCGGCAGCGGCGTCGTTGGCAAATGCCCAGACAAAGACCAGCTCACTTTTTCCCTCGGCCGAGGAAAGAAATGGGCCATATCATGAACAACCCCGGGGTCCAGACTCTAGGTCCGGGTCTGGTGTTGCTGTGTACTGTACATCCGAGCGAGTGAGGATGAAGGCAGGGAGAGTTGAATGGATGAGCAAGCTTATCTCTGAAAAGCAGAGGAGATAGAAATACATAATGGCAAAAGATAAGTTAAATCAAGAAAAGAGGAACCCCCCAGCCTTCAGAGACATTTTTCTGCACAATCACAGATGCCAGCTTTGAACACCATCTTGAGAGGAAACCTTGAACTTGGAAAGTACAGTATACACAAAACAGCCATGTAAACGCACTTAGAAGCCAAGTATTACATACCAGCTGACCAAGGGCGTCCCTCTGAGCCCATTACCAAATGGAAAACCATCTGTGAGCTTGTCTTGCCTCATTCTGCATGGTCCGGCAGTTGTTTTAACGTAATGGCTCGTCCGGGGTTGATTTACCGCCGCAGTCCAACAAGACGTTGTTATGTACCCTCTCGCTGCGTATGTATGTTAGTGGCTAAAATAACCTTTTGTCTCATTGGCAAAATTCCCGAGGTTCCTTACTGTTGGATTCGCTCGTCGTGATATGCCTCATCAGGTCCCAAAACACCTCAAATCTCCCCTATCTGCTCACTTTTGGCACCACCGGCTCTATTTCAGATCCGGTGCCGCAGCCGGCTCCTTGGACGAATCCGAATTACTCCGATGTTCGGTTCACAGCATGTAAACTCGGTGAAGCGTTTGCCAAAATTAACCTGTCATCAGTCAGTTATCTCCCACTGCCAAGGGATGATCTTCTCGTCCCTCTTTGATAGCAACAGTTCCTGGAACAAGAAAGCATTAGTCATCTAATTCGCAGTTTCATTCCGCCAAATCTTTACACAGATTTTGGAGAGCCATTGACACGGGCCCTGCACGCGATAGCTTCTTCCTAGATCTATCAGCTCAGAGTTATCAACAGATAACTTCAGATCCCTTGGAACAAATACGCTCTCTATGATTGGTCCATAGAAAGCCCTCCCATCACGATCCGAAAATGTCCCTTGTCCTGTCCCTGATCTTGACTCAACAGAGACTCGACCCCTGTGCCGTGGGGGCTACAGGGGGACGTTGCCGGTCCTGTCCCGGCTCATCGCTACGCACGGGCCAGTTTGTCGAGATCCATCAAACACTGACTCTAGAGCGAGCAATATCTAGAGCAAGAGCGTCATTGTTGGGTCCGGAGCTTCTGGCATGGTGGCTGTGACTTTGTTGATTTGATGCAGATGAGATGCACGACCAGCTACACTATGTGACCCGCTACCTCGACCGATAACGGTTCCAACCTCTTCGTCCAGTCCGAAGCTCTGCTTCGACTGACAACCTCCGTTGATGTCATGTCAGAGAGTTGAGTCAAAGCTCAGCGTTAAATTACCCTTAACGTTTTGCCACGTGAGTGTGGAGACGATTAGCGACAACGTTGTGGCCTCGTGGGTGTAACTCTTCACGGCTTTCAGTCTCGTGTCCAAACCATGACTCTCTCTTCGTAGTATTCAGTTGGTTCATCTGAGCCACGAGCTGGGAGCATCATGTTTAGCTCCTCTTGAATCTGGAAACCTAGTTTTTGATAAAACGAGACCGCATTCATGGTAGCCTCGAGAATAACTGGTGCATTCTCTTTGGAGGCCTCAGCCTGCACTCGACGAAGCAAAGTTGACGCAGCCCCTCGGCCATTGAACTTGGGATCTGTGCATAGATATGTCACGTCTAGGAAATGTTAGTGCCGAGTGACACGTGGCCAAGGTAGCTTCAACCAAATTTCAACACCATAGGTGTATAGCGGTCAAGGTTTGGTCGTCGATATCCTGGCCTCCACTCAGCAGCAAATAACTCACGGTAATAAGTCTTGTCACCCAGGACCTTGTCTCTCTTACTCTTAGTAAGATCCGCGTAGGGGCCAAGATATTGACGACGGCAGAAGTCTGGAAACTCATCATCATCGGCTTCTTCTTCTTCTTCTTCTTCTTCTTCTTGTGTCTCTCGCGACCGCTGTTGCCGCTGAACGTTCCACTTAGCGAAACTCGCTATTTTCCCGGTCTCTGGGTCGCGTGCAACCAGAACACCCTTGTCGACGCTTTGGACATGATCCATAGTATCTCTGAAAAGCCAGCCTCGGAAAAACTCCTTGCTCTCAGGGTTGGGAAATTGTGCGTGCATCAGCAGGTTGATGTCCATGGCGGCAAAAAAGGTGTCGGTGACACTAGGGGCCTCTCTCTCAGAAGGAACTAAGATTTCGAATGGCATCGTTACTACGTGATGAGGCGTAAATATTGCTTAAAGAAAGCGGAAGTGAAGCACAGGAAGTAGAAAGTTGTGAAGTCGAAATTGGCCAACCAGAAACCTCACGATATTGCGTTGGTGGCCTAGACCTGGGGCACGTGACAGTTTGGGTAAGTTTCTTAATCTTGACATCTCAGACCTCTTGAATCTATAATTTTAATTCTTCGAAGCCTATCTGCCAATGTCGGTTGCATTCCGAGTGTTGGGTTTCCATCGCTATCGCTTGAAATCAGGTGTGACACAATATTCGAGCCTCAGCTGTGAGTAAGACTAGTTCTGCATAAGGGACTACCCGCTTTAGCACTATGCCTCAAGTTGACTTATAGACTTTTGCCGTAGACAGTTCTATGAGTATGCACTATCTACCCGTAGAACGACAACAAAAAAGGACAACGGCATTGTACTATAACTTGTAATCTAACCTTTCTTGAGATTCGGGGCGTCCCAACTCTTCTTATGTCTTTCAACTAAAACTGTTTCTCAATGTTGGGGCTGTACCTCATCGGTAGGTATGATGTCGTGTTGAAAGAATTGCTTTGCAAAGTCGTCTATTTCATTAGAACCAGTGCCTTATACTGGCTTATGCTTTCTTGTCTAGCTTTCATTGTATTGAGGAGAGTCTAACACGATACCCCATTGATCTAAATACAGAGGGGACACGCAGCTTAGAGCCAGGGGTGACAGCCCGTTCGCACAGCTTGGGCATATCTCTCTAGTCCTTTCCTGTCCAGTTTCGTCTTCATGGCAACTAGGTGCTTTATTCGCGCTCTCTTTTCAAGTAGCCTATGCGGATATTCAGCTCTGTATAGAAATATCTGAATTTGCCATTGCTGAAGCTTATCCTATCAGATTTCATCCTGAGAGGGCAACGCAGCAAACATTTCACGCAAGAGTCTCAAGGCATCTAACTCGAATCTTGGAAGATTTTCAAATTATGGAAACCTTCTGGGCTAGTTCTTAGATCTCATGAGCTGGGAAGGAATCCAATCATAAACTTGTGACGGGCGGATCTCGACCAGATACACGATGTTATAGGCATATAGTTATTTTGGGATCGGAAGTTGATCTCAGTTATTTGTATTCCATGAGAATACAGGTTACTGTTCTCGACAAAGCTTTGATAGCACATATCACAGTAACATCACCAGTCCTTAATATTGAGTGTCAGCCCGGCAAGCTTTCCCCCTTCACTCTCAAAGAACATTGGTTTTGTATATGATGTTACTTAGGCATGACAATATTAAAAACAACACTAGAAGAGCTTCGGCGAGAGAATAGGTTGATAAGAACACGGGAGTCCAGTCCGGGCAACAATCTCGACGTTTGAGGGATTGACGCTCCAAGATTATTGGGCAACTATGCCATGACCTGAGCTAGGGGGCCCGGAATAACTTCATATCGAAGGAGTAGTCAAGCAGCTGGTTGACCGTTTTCCGAATTTCTCACATGAGAAGTAGAAAGGCGTGAACTTTTGATTCGTATAGGCCAAGTTCAACTTACATCCCTGACAGATCGGCCTTCCTGTGGCAGCGAATACAAGTGGCATATCTTATTGCAAATTCTCGTACCACTTCACATGACCTTCTAGATCCTATTTTCTCAGGAGTTGGTACAAATTATGATTCACAATGATGCAGTTCGGACAGAGTTAACTTGCGTAAAGCACTTCAAACCTTCTAATACACCAGTTGGGGTGTCTGTTTAACAGACATCTTGACATCACATCGCACATACGGAACAGGTTCAAGAGGTACAAGACAAAGGGGCCGCTATATGGCAACTATAGACCTAGTCTGGCGAAAAAATACAATCATGACTCCCCGAGTCTGCCAGGGATTAAAATTACTTAAAAGAATTTGTGCGGTTTGCTAGTGGTCCCTTATGATGAGCCGCGGTCGAGCATGCTAGCCCGCCAACGGCAGATATGATAAAATGAAACGCCGATGATGGCCGGGTATTTAGACAGGAGGGTTGAAAGAAGGAAGCTTGTTGGCACAAGCGGCAACAGCCTTGAGGGCCTTGGCGTTGGTGAGGGCAACAGCCTTGGCGGGCTGGGTGCGAGGAGTACCGTAGACGGGGAGGTCATCCTCAGCGGCAGGGGGAGTGTAGGCAACATCGTCGAGGCTGAGCTTCAAGCTAGGGACGGTGCTGATGTCGATCTTGGAGCCGTCGAGCTTGACAATCTCAACCTGGAGGCCGTTGGTGACGGCATCGGCAACCTTGGTAGGAGAGCAGGCAGCAAGAAGCTGAGGGGCGTCGGCAGCCTGGTCAGCGGAGAAAGAACCGTGGATGATACCCTCAGCAGGCTGTCGCATAACGACAAGACCACCAACGAGCTTTCCGGAGACGTAGACGTTGACCTGGGCAGGTCGCTCAACCTCGGTGACATCGAGCTGGACGTTGGCAAAATAACGGGTGGTGTTGGCACCAGCACGCTCCTCAATCAGGCCACGCTCCTCAACATCACGACGGCGGGAAGAACCGCTGCCATAGAGACGGTTAATGGTGGTTCGGGCGGAGCTAGAGAGCTGGCTGGCAGACATTCGCCAGTACTCGAGTCCAGCGTAGGTGTAACCGAAACCCTTGATGCTCTTAACACTGTCAGAGGTGTGGAAGTTACCCCTGGATCGGTAGAAGGGGTTGAGAGGAGAGCTGGGGGTAATGCGGGTGCCCTGGGGAGTAGAGTAACGGGCACCACCAGAGTAAGAGCCGGTGAAGGTGGACTGGCTAGGGTGCATGGCCTGCCAGTAAGCCCAGAGACGATCGACGTTGGCGTGGTGCAACCAGAAGATGGGATCGAAGCCAGAGAACTCGGTGGCGAGGAACTGGCCGGCGCAAGAAGCATCCCAGTGAATGGCGTTGTGGATCTGCTCGAGAGAAGCACCGTTGGCACCGGTGGAAGCGAACTGGTTGAAAGTGGTAGGTCGGGTCATGACATCGTAGACCCATTGCTTGTAAGGCCGCTGGCGGAGTAGCTTGTTGGCACTTGAAGGGAAGCTATCGGGAGCGGGGCAGTGGTAGATGCGAACGCGGTGCTCGTCGTCCCATGATCCGTACTTGTTGTTGAGGGCGTCCTTGGGGAAGTTGTAGGTGTAAAGAGGGTTCTTCATGTTGATGGTCTTGAGGCCGCTGCCATTGGGAACCTTAACGTTGACATTCTGCTGGGTGAGGATAGCGGGAATGCCATCGAGGGCCCAATCCCAGTAGGCGGCACGCAGGTTGTTGGCTGCATCAACGTACTGCTTGCGGTACTTGGAGGGGTAGAGGTTGGCCAGGCGCTTGGCATGCTCGACGAGGATCTGCTCGTAGAGCAAGACATAGGGACGATGCCATGTCAGGAAGATGCTCTCACCGTGAGGGCAGTATCCGGGCCAGCCATTGCCGCTTCGACCACCACCACCGTTCCACTGAATGAAGGGCTTTCCGTGAATACCACCGACCTGGAAGTAGGACTTCCAGTCAGTCTCCTTAGCATCGTACATGGAGCGGACGGCTCGCATGTAAAGGTCCCTGGTGTTGAGATTAGCATTGGCTATGTTAACAAGCACACGACAGACTTACCAGGCGGGGCCGCCAGCCTTCTGCATGTCATTGATGTTCTTTCGAGCAGGAACAGCAGCTCCACCAGTGACGGGGACACCAGTTACGAAGATGTTCTGCTGCTGAGCCTCGACGGGGTTGACACCGCCGACGACCGCGAGAGCGGCAACTAGGAACTTGCCCAGCATGATGATTGTCCTGAAAAATAAAACGAATGTATTCGAACAGAAGTCGTGCGTCAATGTACGACTTTGCTTGCTCAAGAAAAAAGGACAAGATCGGAGAAGGAAGTGGTTAAGAGTGTGGGAAAACGTCCGAGATATAGTCAACCCTGAGCCATGACCACGGCGACAAGACGGGGGGTGTGAGAGGGCTGATGGCAATGGCTATGGATGGCTATGGCTCTGGGAATAGGTCATGATCCCTTCTCCGCATCCGAACCTCCGTCCCAGCTGTCAATCATCGTCAAAGGGGTTCGTAACGCCCCTCATAGTGGCCCTAGATGACAAGGGGGGAGGGGGTGCACAGGTAGGGCAAAGATCGATATTCCATAGGATGTGTCCACTGGCGACGAGTTGAGAGTTGCAAGGAGAGGAGCACTGAGCACTGAGCGATGAATGAGCTAGGAAGGTGTGGGTGAAATTGGGATATGACCCATGCACATGGACAAGCCAGGGTCATGGTTGCTTTTCTCTCGTCTTTTCTGTGCTTAGTAGCTCGTTCGCTCGTAACGCCACATTGAATGGATCAACGTCTGTGTCCCTGGCGATTTCCTAGGCCTGTCAAATTGCCTACGCGTCAACTATGTCTAGACGTTAGTCGAGACATTGACAAGGAGAAGAAGAAAAGGCAATCCTTCAGTGAGATCCAGTGCTGATAGTAAGAAACTTTGTCTGTCCTATGGCACGTCGTATTCGATGGTTGTGAAGAGACCAGAAGAAAACAGGGGGGGGACAAGATCCCAGCCCAGCCCAGCCCAGGCGAGTGGTACAATTGACCACAGCCCTGCTTCTGGGCTCTTCCAGCGGTTAGGGGAGCTAGGGAAGCTGGAAGTTGGAGTTGTTTGTGCCTGGTGAGTGGGCCAGGCTAAGGCAAAGGTGGTAGAGGGCCTGTCGCTCAGCGGCACGACACGACACGACACGACATGATACCCAGAGGACAAAGGGATTGTTGTGGTTAGGGGGTACTTTGCTCGGACGCCTTGTATAGGTGAGATGCCGAGGTACCGAATGTAAATTGCAATCTCAGACAAGATGTAGCGTAGCGCCCAAATGGACTCCCCTGGCGCGCTTAGAGCCTGTACCTGAAATTCTAACATGGCTTGCATGCCTAAATTGGTCCCGGCTGCGGATGAATTCTGTGAGGATTGGATGTGAAGAATCACGAGCAAATGTGAATTATTTCCTGAAAGAGCTGAGCTCAAC